TTATATTTACATTGTTTGGGAGTTATCATTCTGTACATTAACATTGTTGTGGGTTAATCATTCTCTATATTTACATTGAACCACAACAATGTTAATGTAGAGAATGATAACCCACAACAATGTTAACGTAGAGAATGATAACTCCCTAACAATGTAAATATAAAAGATAACCCACAAGAATGGAAATATAGAGAATGATAACCCACAACAATGTTAATGTATAGAATGATAACCCACAATAATGTTAACGTAGAGAATGATAACTCCCTAACAATGTAAATATAAAAGATAACCCGAAAAACTGTAAATATAGAGAATGATAACCCACAACAATGTAAATATTCTATTTGATTGTTAATTAATAACGATTTTGATCCTTTATATAAAACTGTCACAGTCACTGAAATAACATAACACAGTACGGAAAACGAGACCTCTTTTTTGTAACTTCCTTTCATGGTGATGATAGTTATATAAGATTAACGGACATTGGGGAACGGGTGTCTTCAAAACTAACTTGTATTCTTTAACTCAGTTCTCAAACTTTTCACACAGATCCCCCTTCTTATATATGGTATTCGACCTCCCCCCTTAATACACACACACACACATACATATATCGGTAAAAAAAAATTAAAATGCCATTATCACTAAACAGCAAAAACTATACTACGTGCAAATATATTGTGGTGTAATATCTTTTTCGTGAACCTTCTTACGCATACCCCACCCCAGGATACATTACAATCACCTACATTCTTGAAGTGTATTTGTTATTTATTGAGGAAATATGGTGAGAAACTTTGTAAGAAGAGATCCATTATTTTTCTCTATTCATCTTCGTCCAGAAACTGTTGGATAGTAGACAAAAAAAAGGGGGGATTAAAACAGTGAGTTTGTGTGAAACGATGCTATGTTGTAGGAGTTTCGTTTCGAACAGCATGGTTGTCAGCGTGTTTGTGTGCATATGGTTAGTATCAGGTGAGAGAGTTCGTTGACCCATACTATGACTATATGGTTGTAATTAAGGGTCTGTCATAGAGGAGTATGGAAGTGGTCTGGCAAGTTAAGAGAGTGCGGAAGTGAGTTACCAGAGAGGAGTCCGGAAGTGAGATGCCATAGGGGAAGTGCGGATGTGCCTCAAAAGATGTCTCGAGCAATTTTCAGATAGTAATCAGGGGAGAGAGAAAAAAACTAGTTTCCGTCTACTCCGTATCATTTGTATGATTGATTTTGAAACAAACGCATAACTTAAAAGTAATGCGATTTTTGTTACCTACTTGCTTATTGGTGCAGGTTTCAAAATGTATCAGATAGGAGGCCATTAACGGACTTAGTCCGCAGTGTGATCAGCACTGGATAGTTTAGGGACCTTAAATATTTGACGCGGAACGAGATAAGGAAAGCGAGGTTTAGTGGCTTTTTAGAGGCTATACCACATTCTTGTGTTTAGTGACCGTTCAATAGCCATATCCCGTTTTGGTAGATTGATACGCTTAAATATCTGCAGGCTTACAACGCTAGAATCCGGGTTTAGATACCCGTGGTGGGCAGAGTACAGATAGCCCATTGTGTAGCTTTGTGCTTAATTATAAACAAACCAACAAACAAACTTAAATAGCTTCTCTGTTTTTGTGCGTTAAATGCAAACATATGAATTGAGTAATCGCTAAATTGTTAGAAATATATTTGGTATTGTGTTATTCGTTAGTGGAATTTCGTACTTACAAAAACGTGAACGTGATAGTATACTATATAAAACCAAACTACAGGAACTATTGCGAAACTTGGTGCGAGCGAATGCAGTCATTACGGTTAGGTGACGATGAAACTCAATGACAGAAATAACCGTCTTTAGATACCCTAAAAGGATGATAAACTCTTTCAGATGTTAATTATTTTTGGTGCACATTGAACAAAACAACATACGTTAATATACAATAAACAATTAATATTTCTAGAAAGTGTTCTAGCTTTGCGTGTAAATGAAAGTAGCCACTATCAACGAATTTCAACGGTTTTTAAAATTTTAACAATTTAAAATAAAAGAAGCCATGGACAACGCCAAAGAAATGGGGAAAAAATGGAACACGTAGTTCGCAAAAGCGTTGGCACGCGAAAAGATTAAGTCCTCATTTTTTTACATTTTAGTACGCATGCACACTAGCAGACCACTTATTTGAAGCCCTGCCTATAAATTGACCACGAAATTCAGTGCGCGTGAATAACGTTTTGCATACACTATAAGTGAACATGCAACTCAACGAGAGACATTGCAGTCTTTTTATATATTGCAAGTGAACATGAAACTCAATGAGAGACATGCAGTCTTTTTATATATTGTAAGTGAACATGAAACCCAACGAGAGACATTGCAGTCTTTTTTTATATATTGTAAGTGAACATGAAACTCAATGAGAGACATGCAGTCTTTTTATATATATTGTAACTGAACATGAAACTCAACGAAAGAAAATGCAGTCTTTTTATATATTATAAGTGAACATGAAACTCAACGAGAGAAATTGTAGTCTTTTTATATGTTGTAAGTGAACATGAAACTCAAGGAAAGTGGATGCAGTCTCTCTATACGCTGTAAATAATCATGAAACATGAATAGCTCTCGTGTTTATACGAAAGTCTTTTCCAAAGTTGTTGGGCTGTGCACAGTAGAAAAAAATATATATAGGGAGAAATATTTGAAAGATTAACAAAAGCATAAACTCAGACTGTGAGTTCCTTCTGGAAGGTTCATTATTGCGTTCTTTTTAAAATATTCAGAAGTTTTATGCGTACTTAGTCTACTTATGTATACATTTTACAGGTTGAAATATTTACGAATTTTTTAAAGAGAAATAATATTATTACCTGCAATATTTTTACAAACGTCCGTGTATTTTATGGACCATAATTCTCGGACTGCGCATGCCAAGACTGTGAATCCAAAGATTCATGGTTAGCGTCACGTGGGTGTGTTATTAGAGTGACGATTAAATTCCACTGTTCGGTCAGAAAAAAAAAAGTAGCCCAACCAACACACTCGTAACAATAAATCAAAACAAAATAATTTTAATAATCTGGATTTTTTCAAATTAGAAATAAGTTAACGTTGTCAATAAATACAGTTTGTACTAAATAGTTAATAAATAGAGAACGTGGTTCAACTCTTGAAGGAAAAAACAATAGCCTAAAACTGTCTAAAACTAAAATGTATTAGAGACAAATGCTGTTGTACATATTATATTGTGATCAATTTTTCTTAAACAGTTTTTATGAATTATACACCTATTTGATATATTTTTACTGTATTATTAACTGTAAAAACATTGTTAGCATTATTGTCGAAATTGGGGCCATGCGTGGACAAGTGGTTAGAGTGGCGGACAGTGAATTCGAAAGTCCATGGTTCACATCCCGTTGCCGCAAAATCTCGCTCCGAATGTTGTGGCCGTGGATGCGTTATAAGAGTAACTGCCAAAATCCTAGTATTCTATTAAAGTAGCCTAAGAGTTGGCGTTGAGTGTTATTGACTGTTTGCCTTCACTATAGTCTACCAGTTCAAAAATTAGAGACGGGCAGAGCAGATAGCCCTCGAGTAGCTGTGCGCGAATATTCGAAACCAACCTAATCATTGGTCATTAAACGTTGTTACAGAGAGGACTGATTACAGATTTGGGTATACTGACGTCACGCTTTTCAGGGGACACGAAATACGTCACAGTGCAAGTAAGTAAGGTATATTCCATTGTTTGGTTAACGTTAGTTTCCCGCACAGTATTTATTTATTCGTCAAAATGTTAATACAGTACAGTTGTTTCTTATATAATATTTCACTTATTTATCGTGTATATATATTTTTATTACGAAGAGTATTTGGTTTGTTTAGTGTATAGATTTAGGGTGAATCACCTTAAGTCTTACGAACTTAATAGTACTGAATAAAAGCCCTATAATCTGAGTGCTTTCGAAAGGTGGACTTTTTTTTTTATCCATTTCTATCAAGACTTCTTGAACCTACGTGTTACTGTAACATCATGAACTTCGCCAATATTACGGTCGAAAAATATTAGTAACAGAGAGGAGAGCCAACTGATAAATCAACATATTCTACTGACTGTAGGTTTTTGTTTTGTAACTTATAGTTATACAACTATGTTAAGACAGCTACTGGGTTAATTTTTAGGCCTGATCTATGTAGGTAACTTGCTTTGATCAGAATAATGTGGTGAATTCCCACTTTCATTTACAGTGAAGTTTACACTTGACTAGGCTTGGATAAATCAATTTAAATTATTTCCAAGTACAACAAGTATTCTGTCTATCAATGAAATTATTTTCACTGTAACTGCCTTTTTCAGAAGCAAATAATACCAGCATTACACCACATTAGTGTTGATTTCAGAAATCTGTGCCCACGTTTCGTGAACTTTAACAGTACATTAACACACATTTTTAACACTACAGTTTCAGTAACTTTCTAAATGCAGATAGATTTACAAAGAAAGAGAAAGAACGAATAGAAACTGTAAACGCAAAACAGTTTTAAAGATGAAAAAATGAAATGTTTTATTTTAATAATTAGGAATGAGTAGTCCTTTTTTTAAATCCAATATTTGGATAAAATTTCGTAACGGTCCACTTCTTGTAGAATAAAAAGTGAAACTCGACAACTCGAATGCAACAGCTTACGTTATGCATGTCAAGCCCGGAAGTGGGTCACGCACACGCACTGTTTTTCAGTTTACCTATATAGCATAGAGTCTGATGTGGAAGGTTTAGTTTTCCACTCTCCTAGCTTTAAACTACTAACTGGTAACAGGAGACACGCACTGTTTTTCAGTTTACCCATAGAGCATAGAGTCTGATGTGGAAGGTTTAGTTTTCCACTCTCCTTGCTTTAAACTACTAGCTGGTAACAGGAGAGAGATAAAGAAAGAAAATTGGGGGTTGAACTGAACTTTTAAACTGTGAATCATTTGGAACGAATCAAGTTTACTTACTACGCAGAGCCCAGGGCTCCTGTCTTTGGACTGCATATCTCAAGAGGTAGGTAGAGTTTGCACACTGGTCACTAACATTGACCGCTGGTCCTAGTTGCAGTGATTCGAAGAGTTCTTCGTATAACTGGATGATGGACGAACTGGAGAATGAGAGCAGGTGGGGCTGGTTTCGAATAAACGCCCCAGAAGTATTAACAAGCGCCTCCTTTGTTGATTTTTCTTCTGGAAACTGTGTACATTCTCCATAAAAACAACAACAAAGGACCAAAATGGTGGCGATCCTCATTGTTCTGAATACAGAGTAAGAGAAGATCCCGAAACCTAGAATAGAATAACTCTTGCAATATTTCGTAGTTCCAGCTATCTCCGACTTCGGGGACGTTTTTGTTACCGAGTTATAAATATTTAAAATTTTACGTCATCCAATACAGAAAGCAGGCCTTTGGTCACAAGTTTGTGACGCTCTTATTGGCGCTTTCTTTAAACATCGTAGTAGTTTCCACCAATGTTGTCGAAGTTCTACCTATGGTAGTCACGTGGCGGTTTGACTTGCGATATGAGAGCTTGATCTGCACACCTTCAGGCCGCTTCCACTGTTCACTCTTATCAGACTCAGAGCGCAAATACTATACACGTACACAAACACTGGCGTTTATAACCTTACCTGTATTTATTTAGTTTTTTGTTATATATATATATATATGTTTCACGTACAGCACATTCACGTCACACAAAACGTACAAAGAAAATACTATAATACCTCAAAATACGTTCGTACACGGCTCCTTTCGGCCTTAAGGCCCACGTCACGTGATGATCTACAAAAGTCATTTCATTGTTGAAAAGAAAGTGTTCTTAGCGTCCAATAATGCTTTGTTTGTTTGTTTGTAATTAAGCACAAAGCTACACAAAGGGCTATCTGTGCTCTGCCCACCACGGGTATCGAAACCCGGATTCTAGCGTTGTAAGTCCGTAGACATACCGCTGTGCCACTGGGGGATCTATTAACGGTATGTGGAAAACATTTTGAAATATAAATATTTTTACTTGTCTATTTATAAAAATTGTGCTAATCCTCCTTACTTTATTGGCATTTGTGTTCATTTTAATATAAGTAAGTTGCTTTTGTATTTCTAAATTACAAGGAATTTCACTTATAAAATTAAAATATTGGTTATATATTTCGTATATATACAGGGTGTCCCAAAAAAATGTATACACATTTTGAATGATTATAAATAGAATGTTTAT